AAAGATGGCGTGCAAAAATTGCTGTCCCCTAAAGCGATGGCCCAGCTGGCGGCAGTAATGGAAGGCCTTTAGTTTCAAAATTTTATGATACAAGTATATGATATGAAAAGTAAAAAAGAACAATTGCTACAAGCAATTTGAAAGATAAAATATTTAGAATGTTTTAATGGAAGTTTTTGTTCTGAAAAAATAGGATTTTGTTTTGGACATACTTTCTCTAAACACTTTTTTTTTCCCTAGTTTGGTAAGTTTTCATTTTCTCAGTGTTTTATTTCTTCTTAGCTTTTTTTACCTTCTTTTTCATTTTCCTTGTTATCTTTCCTTTTTACATCAGAAATTAAACAAAAATGTGTTGGAAAATATTGACTTTTGTTCCCTTATTCTTTTAGGAAAAATCGACATTTTTGTTCTGTGGAAAAGTTTGTGACCATTTTATTTTATTTTTATGCTGTATATCAAACTCGTGAGCCATAAATAATTTTAGAAAAATAGTAATTTCATTAATTTTGTTACATTAGAAACATGGAATATGTAATACGCGATTTTTTTTCCTTAACATTTGTCTACAAACTTTAGGAGGGTTCTTTTAGATAATATGGAAAACCCAACACGAAAGCAAAAATTAGGAATTAGGAGTGTTACATAACAGCATGCTAATAAATGTTGGAACTTTGAAGGTGATGTTTTAGTATATAATTAAGTAGTTCTATTCCTCAGTTCTTTTTTAATATTACAATAATTTCGAATCTTTTAATTAGGGATACATATCTTAACCTATGCTCGAGTTGAGTTTTGTAGATTAATTAATTGGGTGGCAATAGATAAATGTTATATTCATCTCTTTTATTTTTAACTTTTACTTTATATTTAATTTTTTGAGAGTTATATAATTTTAATATATACTTTTAAATTACTTTCTGTAGGTGTGCAAAGAATCAAGGCCAAAATAATGACTTTGAAGCTTAGCGAAGTCAAAATAAAACTTCAAACTTAAAACCTACTAGACTAGATACATTCTTCAATTTCCTCTCTTGTTTTTTCTCTCTCTTTTTATTTTTATTTGATCATAGCGTCATATTCCAGATTCTTTTTTAAGTCTACAATTTATAATAGCTTTTTGCTTTAATTTCTCATATAATTCCTATTTTAAGTTCATGATTTTTTTTCCGTGTGTTCGGGCCAACTTGTGCCACCTCAACTAATCACGGGCCAATTGTCTTATCCTACTACATTTGGTTGATAAGGTAATTTGTAGGATATTAAATCCTAGGTACGTAACGATTATGGTTTGAACTCATTCTCTCTAAATCTTTTGCTATTTCGAGTTCATGATTGATCTCTTTTATTTAGGTTGAGTTAATCATTCTATTCTTAAAGTTTGTGATTGTTTGCATATACCAACTGTAAAATTAGATGTCTAAATCCTTAGACGAGAGTATTTGGCTTTTCTGATTTTGATTTTGATTATTTCCCTTTATTTCTTTCCTTATCATATCTTTTAATTATTAGTAAGTTTACAATATTTATATAACACTATCAGTTTTTTATTTGTATTGGCTTGTACATTTACAAAATAACTATCAAATTTTTGGTGTTGGAGCCTAATAGAAATTTTATATCATCTTTTTTCTTTATATCTTATCTATCTTAATTTATTTATTTCATTTTCTATTTTCCATTTTCAGTTTATTATTGGTCAACTTAGGTCTATGGAAATGTGGTTCTAGCATGTGAAGGCATCCATAGAATTCAGCAACTTATAAGTCATACCTACTACTTTGGTTCATCTTTGGTAATGGAAAATAAAAATCAGTTTAGGAGTGAATGTCTTGTTCAAGCCAGTAAAGTCTATGGACTTCAATTTCCCATTATTATTTCCAACAATTTGTAACTAGTCAAGATACTTAACCTCGGTCTATATCGTGGGTTTTGTTTCATGAGTATAGATATTAAATATTTGATAGTTAAAAACTTGAGATTTGAATGCTTGATGATAATAATTATCTGTGGAGGGATGATAACTTATTCAAGCCTAGTTCGTGAAAAAAAAATGTAGTAACAAAAGCTAGCTTCAAATTAAGGGGTTTTACTTCCTCATTAATGATCTGGTTAATCTTTTTCTTCTATCTAATTGATGATCAACTTTGCACCTTGGGTGTGACCTCGATGATTATAACTAACCTGTGTAAACTAGTTGATTAGGGAAATGACTCAACTTAATTAGTTTGAAAAGTCTCCAAGTTTGGTGGTTGTTGAGTTAGATATATTGAGGCAATATTAATGGTTCTTGTTGAGTCAATCATGTGTATTTGGACAAAGCCCAAACTTAGTGAACTAAACTTGATTGAGAGTTGGCTCCGCTCGACTCGACTTGGCTCGTGAGCTTAGGCTTTGGTAAATAGTTGTGTTAAGCTACCCTCTTTGCATTATTAGTGGCTATGGTTGAGGAATAATTCCTTATTGCCACCCCCAAAAGAGATTTTTTATGCATCTAAATGCTTTTAGATACTTTAACCTCCTAATGGAAGTGAAGATGATATTGCTTTCATCTCAAGGGGCCTTGAATTGCCAAGGATCAGGGTGTAGGTGGATATTTGTACCCAAAAATCAGCTCATCAACTTTAGTAGAGGGTCTTCCTTTACCTGACCTTCTTGAGTAGTCTTCCTATGTGTATTGAATATAGGGTAATCTCACAATACGACACAGCTAAGGTCGTCTTGTTCTTCGTCTACGAGTTAAGTTGCTCGATTGTTAACGTTTTTGCTTTCAAATCTTGCACATTTGTACCATTTGGTTTCACCAATGTGATTTGATTCTAGGTTTCTCAAACTTGCTTTTGTGCAGTTCTTAGAATTGATTGTGTTTATTCACACAATTTATATCTCTCAATTGGTCTACAATCTCGTAGATTGTTCTTTGCAAACCAATTAAGGAGGTTTGTCTTTTAAGCTCCACTAGATTGAAACATTTGAAATTTGGTAAAATATACTTTTGATACTTAAAGTCAAACTGGAATGCTGACATTGGTGAGTTGCATTATTTTTAACCATTTTTTTTTTTCAAAAAATTGTTTTCTTTCTCTTTCTCTCTCTTTCTATCTCTTCTCCTCCATTCTTCGAACTGTAATCCAATTGAATGGTACATCGACCTCAAAACCAAGTAAAAGAAAAAAAACTGTTTGGGTTCGTGATCATATGATATTCTTATGGAAGCTAGAATGAAGATATGCTTTCATTGCTTGGTGAAGGAGATGAATTGCAAGAATCACTAGCAAAAGACATGACGGTGGTTAATTTATCACTTAAATTGGTATTAGGTTCCGTGGAGGAAACTACTTGGCTCCTCACTAGTAACTAGTAAGAAACAACATTGTTCGTACCACGATTAAATATTTGACAACTAAGAGAGAGAAATGTAAAAACGTAAAGGTGTTTTAAAAAATGATGAGTTGTTAAATAGTGGTAAAGACAAAGTTGTTCTTCACTAATGAGGAGTCAAGTATCTTCCTTTTTCATAATTCATCCACAATCGAGTTTTACCCCTTCCCACCTCCCAAAAAACCTTGCATAATGAATTATTAGAAGCTATATGGTTTGTTGAAATTCCTTGTTGGATCCTGATGGTAAATTGTCCAATAGATGTCTAAGAACAACTAGAGGGGTCACGTTTCGAGAAGTAGGAGGATGGAAGAGATGGAAAGTGAAGAGTAACAGATTTCGGAGGAGAGAAAGATGAAGAGAAGGAAATAGGAAATTTTTGTTAAAAGATATACTACTCATCCATCTCACGTCAGCAGTTATACAACCATCCTACGCTAAACTATTTTTTGTTGGATTAGATTGAAATGTTTGAAATAATTCTTCAATGTCTAATTTCGCTCCATTTGCAAAATATGATAGATTTCACAAGTTTTATTTGTTTGTTTTCTAGTCGCAAAAATCACAAAAGTAAAACTTCAGCATGAGTTTGACATAGTCATTAAACGTACAACTCTTCAACTAGTTAAATCATGATAGTGGAGTGCCCCTAAAGTTGTACTCACAATTCATTGCATCTCTACCAACATGTAGAATGCTCGCAATAACATTTTGGTCTTTCGAGCACTAGACTGTGGAGTAGATGGTGAGATTTTTCCATTGATCACTTCCTCTGTAGCTCATACTCACATTATCGATGTTAGTCCAACTCATCTTTTGTTGTCAACTATATTTTTCTTCATAGTTCTCGATTCTCATGCTCTATAATGGCTATCCAGTTGAGCTCACCCAACTTCAATAGCTAATAGAGCCCAAGTGAGAGACCATTGCTGATGAAGAAGGATTAAACGTTTCTTGTTCCTACTTCGAAGTTCAAAGTATGGTCAACAAAAAATAAGTTCAAACTTGTACCAGTATGACATTTGTCAAAGCAACATTAATCTTCTAATCAAATGTTGATGGCTAAAGAATGAGGTAGTGTATTAAAAACATTTATGGGTTTCTGCTCTTTAATCTAATCAATCATAACATTTATATATCAGTTGTTCAAAATTAACTAAGCAAGAACAAAGTGATCTATTTTCTCCCAAACATATTCCCCATCTCTCTTAAATCTCATTTCTTTATCCCTCAAAAAAAAATCTCATTTCTTCAACACATCCCTAATATATATTGCATGCATTCACCATCATGCATATATAAATATCATGAAGTTATTAAGGGGAAAAAAAAAAGAAAACGATTTGTTTTGCAAATGTCAATTGATTCCTCATTATTAAGAAGATAAGTAATATATAGGAATCCCTAGGGACAACCAGTAACCACAAACAAATTGGAGTTAACCAACAATTTATCACAACTTCAAAGAAAAGTTGAAAAGAATACCAGGGAATTTGAAAGGAAATGTAGGGAAGAAAAAATAAATGGGTGTCAATAAATAATATAAACAGACAGAAAACTAATTTTGAAAACAAGGAAAATAATTACTAAAGTAGTTTCAATCATAACCATAGAGAATCAAATTGAAGAAAATTCAGAAGCAAATTAATGAATCCATTCACTGCATTAGTACATGCGTTAAGGAACTTTATTCCAATGACTCTAAAACAGAATAACAAGGGGTCAACTTATTTATTTTCAACATATAATATAATATAAAAAAAGTAGATTTATTATTATAAGATGAAAATAAATTTACAGTGACGAAGTTGCATGATGGAGATCCACGTAGCCAGACAACACACTCCGGTCTCGCTCCTTCACCTTTGTCTGATAAATTACCCTACATTACATATCCACACTTCTCACATTAGTTTCATGTATTTACACTGAATTTGGCCTCTTCTAAACCAAGTTTTAACTAATTTACTTTTCAAATTTATCCTCGCATTTAAAAGCATGCTTAAAAGTGAAAAAATCTAAAATTGATCAGCACCCATCCTTTACTGATCACTGTCAAACTTTTGACAAGAGAGAGGAATGTAGAATGGAAGATATTTTTTCTATTTTTCAAAAAAAAAGAAAATAAGACGACAAATTTTTAGTGGTGGTAATTAAGAAGATGAATGAATGAATGCTGACTGATCTATACTTAAGTATTAACAAAAAGTTTGTCACTTTTAACTAATTAAAAGCGCTTTTCAAAGCCTGCTGTGAAGAACTGAATGTTTGTTTATATAGAAAGTTACCATTTTTCTCAAATACCATCCAAACACACCTCTAAATACCACTAAATTTATTACTTCCGCTAAAATTAAGAACACTTTTCTCTAAGAACCCATTCCAAACACACATTACTAAAAAGTATTTTCAAAGTGCCTGTACTAGAAGAGCAATCAAATCAGTTTTTTTTTTTCAAAAAGTGCTTGTAGAATAAGAATTTCACTTAGAAATACTACTTCTACAACATTTTACTCCATAAGACTTGAAAGTTGAGATCTTATGAAAAGGAAGGAAACAAAACCATACCTGGACCCGTCAAGCCACATCTCCGTGACCAAAGTTTCACCTGGGTAGACATGCAGAAGAAACTTCCCTGATAAACATTTTACTTTTCTCGAGTCTCCTTTACAAATGCATTTAATTACAGCCCGCACAGCAAATCCCAATGTACACAATCCATGGAGTATTGGTTTCGAGAACCTATGACATTGCAATTGAAGAAGATTTTATGGTTATAAGATTGCACTGGGACATCCAAAAGTTGGTTCAAATACTATAATGTTAACCATTGCCCCTATACATCTACAAAAACCAAATATCAATAGCCCGTGGGATAGCGAGTGATGTCTTAAGCCGTTTGTTAATTAATGGAGAGCAGGAGGAACTAGGGAGGCGTTTCGTATAGGAAGGTGAACGTTCATATAACTCATTTGTTGTGGATGATACAATGGAACTTTAAGGTGGGCTAGGATTTCCAAGGTGACATCAGGTTTGAAGGAGAATATGGAGAAAACTGCTGCTTGCAAAATTAATATCATTATGGAAAGAATGGATATCATGGATGGCTACTACAAGTGCTTTAACCCATTGCATATTTGGCCATACCGTTGGAGGCAATCCAGAGGTGGAATTTTGGACAATAATATGAATAAAAAGTTGAAGATAATTGAGAAATTGAAGAACTTCAATCTTTCAAAGGGAAACAGAACTCCAGTCCTAACATTATTCATGAACAGTTAAGTTTATTCAATACGACATGCAGTGATCAATATGGCATCAAAATTTAAATCATCACTACTGTCCCCATAGTCTAGATAGTTGTAACTCAGTTAAAGGTATCCTGTACTCTCATCATACATTAAGGCAAGGATCTAACCAGTTTTATTGAGCATTTACGATGTAAGGATGTGTTACATACTTCTGCTAGGTTTAAATGAGATTATCGAACATATAAAACCACGAGGATTCAAATTATCCAAACACAGTGATAGGAATGGGCCTGAGGATAATTAGGTATATTATTAGGGCATTGAGGGTACCTTAGTAATTAGATAAGGAAGTTGTTAGGAAGAGTTGTTATAAATAGAATGGGGTGTAAGAATGAAGGTATCCAATTAGTGAGTATGGTTTTGGCTTGAGTTAGAAATAGAATACTCAAGAGAGGGGAGGGTCCAAGTACCTCGAATTACTTGATAGGTATTGTAGTTCTTATATCTTTTTACATCTCAATATAGTTCTTGTTTGGGTTCTATCACACAGGCAACCAAAAACATAGAAAATATTGGTCTCACTAGATCAACTAAAGCAAACTAAGAAAACATAAAGCAGCAAATAAGATGTGAGTGAGATACAAACCCTGCAATTTTCGCAATCATAGGATCGGAATGAAGCGGGTTATAGTCACCTGATAACCTATACAATAATGCCTGCAGATAAAAATCACAAGCAGAGTAAGTTATACTAATGCTACAACAAGATTGAAGTATAGGAATATTATTAATAGTACCTTAGTATAATAAAAGTAAAATAAAACTTGCCTGAGATGGTCGAGTGCAATCCTTATACACAGCAAATGGCTGTGTTTTTGGAATTCTTCCTACTGATTCTTGATCTTTCCGGTAGTTTGTGTAGGAGTAAGGATGAGAAGAGTTTGAGAATCCGCCAGCACCTCGCAGAAAAAGAGTTGTCCTGCAAATCCATCCATAGTCATTCCCTCGCATAACCACCTGAAACGCTTTATTAGAAATAAAAACTGCTTACCGATTCATGCATAATAGTTGTCCAGAATTTTTTTCATAACTTTTGGTTTCAATCTCAAGGATAGCTGCTTTTCCTGAAAATGATAATGGTATGGATATTTAAATGACACTTCACAGAAGAGGTTTACATTTAATAGATTCTCTCTCCAATAAACCCTCTTAGATTGAACTTCACTTTTCATAATTTCATCCAGCTATATGCAATAGAAATCAAATAATATCCAGTCTAAGAAATGCAAACCTTTGTCGTGCAGTCCAGCAAGAGAGACTTTATTATCCAACTGTGCAGGTGAAAACCCATAAAATAAAGTATTTCAGCATTCAAGAATGCAAATAGAAAAACTGATCTGGGAATTAATAGATGATAATATACATAGATCCAGTACGAAGCCTCACATTTCCACTTGATGGTAGTGGCTTGTACAATTCTATGTATTGCTGGCCATGAAGTAAAAGTTTCGGGTCATACCTAATGGCAGAGACAAGAAAAGAAAATATAATAGAACAGCTTTAATAATTAAAAAAAGAGAGATTAGATTTTTATTTGCTCACAAAAAAACCTCACAAGATTCTTAAATGTATACTTACGACAGCCCTGGCAAGTCCAGACCCCTTTCCATAGTTCCAAGCGTAAACAGAGCAGCAAAAGTTGGTAAAACCTATGGAAAGAAAAATTATAAGTAAAAATTCTAAACTACAAGCAGCCCATGATTCCATTCCTCGGTATTAATACATTTCATCTAGAAAGTTCATCCCTACTCCTGATAGGGTGAATTGTCCTCTAGTACATTTCACAAATAGAAGGAACTAGGAAGTCCCTTGGGTGAGGTTGTTAGAGAACATTTAATGAGTGGCATAAGTAGGAAGAGGTATGTTAGTGAGTGAAGAGTAAGGGAAAGAACAAGCCTTCTCTAAATAAAGATAAATGTGTATTTTCTTTTCCTCCATTTAGTATAAAAGTGTATATCCTAAAACTCTATTCAATCCATTGAATAATCCAATCATAGCTTCGCAGATAAGGCGTCTATTACCTTCCTCAAGATCAAAGGCTTATTAGTTGGTATCTCTCTATCTTGAGTATGCGGAGAGGGAAGAAGATAAAGAATCACAGGGAAATATTGGATTACAAATGACGAGTTGTTTTGAGGAGGCACAGAAGATTCCAACAATGAAAAGAAACATCGCCATGCATCCAGAAGGATTGAGCCAATTATTAAGAAGATACATAAAAGGAAACAGAACCTGATGGGGCAAGGGATTCTGTTCTGGCAAATGGGGAAAGACTGATTGATCATGGAATGAGAGGAGAAGTAGGGGAGACAAGTGAGGCTGACCTGTGACCGGCCTCAAATACTTTGAAGGGAATCACAGAAAGAAGGAAAAAATTGGTACAATGGAATGTAAATAAATGGGGAATCTATTTGTGGAGAACTGGATGTACTTGAGAGAGCTACTAGGGGCCAGGGCCTCTCCAATTACCCTTGGTGTTTATTTTCTTTGGATAAATGAATATAATAGTTCCTGTCGTTTTGAAACCAGAGTGATTAGGTTTCCCAAAAATGGGTGCTAACAAAAAGAATGGAAGTGACATATGATGCATTGGGACTAACAAGAAAACACAACAAACACAAGGAGCGAATCTGACTTTCCCAAAAATCATGATAATGCATTTCTTCTGGAACTATATTAATTGGTTCATCACCTCCACTCTCGGACCTCTTGGAAAACGAGAGCGAAAGAACAGATTGAAACAAGGAAATATAGTTATATATTAAGGGGAAAATCAGAATGAACTACAACTGAAAATTCCTTAACTAGAAGAAAATGAGAATCTCAACTTCAAAATCCAACATGCTCTGCCCTTCTAATATATACTTTTTACAAAATACTAAACAAATCACCTCGATGTATTCTTGCCCATTTTCATCGTAAACATATTTCAGCTCATCAGCATCCACGGCTTCCCGGCAACATGCTCCAATACCCAGAGCATAGAGTGCAACATCTCTGTCAATCAACAGCAATATATACACTAATTGACAGAAACACCAGCCTCCCTCAAGTAAAAAAGGTTGAATGCAGAAGCTCAGTGTATGAGGATTTACCTTTCACTATAGTTTGATGTTGTCTGCAGAAAAAATAAATTAGAACAAATCAATCTCTAAACAGCTAATAGAAAGAAGATCAAAACTTCTTGTGAACAGTAGTAAATTTTTTCCTCCAACCTATACATACAGGTTGATGGCCTCAGCTATTAACTTACTTCAAATTTAAAATTTGCAAAAAAGGAAAAAAAAAATTGTATGCATGGAGCTAACTAACCAAACTTTAAAAGACAGCACCTATAAAATTATGATCGATCAGAACTTGGTAAATATACCAGCTGACGTCAACATCCCAAAGCTAATGTCAAATAAGTGTAAACACATTCAACATCATCAAGAAATTGAAGAAAACAATTACACATTCATGATAAAGCAATGCCTCATAAAGGTTTTGAAAAAAATGAAAACCTAATAGTCATTTTTAAAATAATTCAACACTTAATAAGAAATAAAATATAAAACCAATTATCTTAATACAACACATGCTTAAGAAAACAAAGTTTGATGTTCTTTACTTAAAATTAACAATTTAATCTCAAATTTTGATATGTGTCCACATGTCATAGAGAAGGAGGAACGCCACATCGTTAAAGGGGCTTAGCAGTAAAGCTTAGGCGAGAACCCTAAAGAATAATTCTAACAAAAATCTATAGCCAAGTTAAGAAATTGGAAGAAAAAGTGGCTCCTCCGTAAAGCTTGTGTCCACAGTGTATTTGTTCCATTAACAGAAGAGAAATAGGCTTACAAAGTATTGTCACCAAAGAACCCTCCCCTGCTTTCTTCAGTACAACACTTGTTACATAACTATAGAAGAACGTCAATACTACGTTCCCCCCAAAATTTGTCACTTGTAGGCCTCCCGGAGTGCAAAGATAAAAAACGAACTCAAACTCAATAACAAATCTAAACCGGTCGAGATCCTAGAGATTTACAATTCTTTACCTTTGATCCCAATTCTTCGGGTTCCTCTCTTTCCTAATCAACAAAATGTGGGTTTCTCTTTTACGAATATTTTACAGTCTCTATGTCAATACTTGATTAAAACTTCGTCTATAATTTAATTTGATCTTAATGAAAGCTGGTTCGGTTATAAAATAAGGAGAGAGTAAGAAAGCGCACGAAACGCAAACACAAGAAGATGAATGAATCAAAAAAATCCATACCTCCGGAAATTTGTGTGCAAGAACACGATCAGGGTCAAACCCAGATGGATTTTCTGCCATGAGAAACCTGGAATCAGCCTCAGTCGCTGCGAGAGAGTGATGGAAACTGAAAGGCGGGAAAATCGGTCAAAGAATTCGCAGATGATAAGAGCTCTCAATCAGAGGAATAGATGGGGAAACGATGGGTTATTGACGTGCTCATTCAGCCAACTCTCTGAGGAGCTTCCGAGCTTCCATGCGCGATGGATAATTAATTTCTAGTTGAACAAGCCAAATTTTCCACAATTGGGATACTTCCAAATTTAAATGGACCTTTCTTACATTCTATCCGGTACACCAGAAATGTGTGTAATCTCATTTCCTGAATTTAAGTTTTTGAGTTTGATTGATTAATAATACACATTGCTTTTTTTCTTCTTTTCAATAAATATTAGTGGGACAAAGTTTTAATGATAATCTCGACAAAAATGTCTCATTTTTATAGTAATATTAATAAAAAAATATGGATAATATATCAACGTTGATGAATTACTTTTTAAAAATAAATCATATTTTTTAAAGTAAGTTGAAAATTATTATTAGGTTGAATATATGTTTAGTCTGTAATGTTTGGGCATTTTTTTTTTATTTCCCTCCTTATCGTGTAAAAGGTTTCACTGTTCTAACATTTTCCAATTAGTTCCTCTAATAAACTTATACAATATAACACTAGGTGAATTGATATAAATATAAAGAAATAAAAGAGTCATCGTAGAGTGAAAATTTTTTTAAAGTTTTATTCTCCCGATGACTTGAAGCATTTTTTTTTTCTTTTTACTCTTCTAAACTGAGATATGCTTAGCTGGGTCCCTACTTTAAATTTATGAACTAAACTAAGTGAAAGAAAATAATAATAATAATAATAAAACCCACACACAAATGCTAGACAAAACTACATATTTAGCCTATCATTGATAGCCTTAAACTCGTAAATATAAGAATATTTATTAGCCAAAAAAAATCCCTTCGAAACAACAAAAGAGGAAATTCAATCAAATACTATCACAATGGGGAAAAAATTATATAAGACCTCGAGCTGAGGACTTGTGATGAAATATAATATCCTTGGCACTAGGCAGAACAGAACAACTAAATATGAGAGAACATTTTGGTAGGCGAGCCACGTGTCACAATCGCACCTTTTTAAAGCAGCTCGAGCGATTGTGCGGCACTTGCTCTAGCTCAAACGAGCAAGTCAGCCAGAAAAAACTGTAAGTTGCGGTCAATCTCGGTCGTCGGTCTAGCCTCCGCTCACGTTTTAGGAGAAAATTGGTTTTAGAAAACGTGAGAGAGAAAAACAGTTGAAAACATCTTTAAAACAAGCATTGTAGA